TTGAAACATGTGATTCTTTATTTCCATTTAATTGTCATGTCGGGACCATCACACCACAGAATTCAACGGTGATCAGCTCTAAGTTCACAGGCTGGAATGGAGATACACGGCAAAAGAAAATAACTGTTACAGACACATTTTACCAGAGATGTAAAATGAGGTGGCATAAAAATGATCACTGTTACCAACGTGGCAGGAGACGTTTCTGAACCCCTAATCACAGCTCGAGCCAAATGGGGACTAGCACGGCCTGTGTCTCTCCCAGGAGACCCACCTCTGATCCCTTGTCATCACCTTGAGAAGTAAGGGAGGAAGGAAAAGAGGAGAAAAACCAGTTGAAGGGAGTCACAGAAGACTCATCGGAATTTGTTTTAAAATCAGTGGATTATAGATAAAACTTCCAAATAAAGGTCTCCTGTGTCATCCTCTTTGCTCAAATTCAGCTGAAGTCCGTCTGAAGCCTGTTGTTTGGGGCATGGATATTATAAACCCAAGTAAATGTCCACGTGCCCCTCCTGCAAGGCTGTCACCTCTATATGTGGGATAAGATTGTAGAAACCAGTGATGTTCACTTTTCTAAGGTGTATGACTTTTACTCCACTCTCCTTACTTTTAGACCCAAGTCAGATATATAAGGAAGAACTGTAAAGTTACCTACATTGTCCCTGGCAAGTTTACAATGTTCAATTGTGCCATCAGAGTGGCCTCAGTCATTTATGACATTGTTTGTTGGCTAAGAAAGCTATTTCCAGATTTAACGCACACTTCATTGATTGCATAACTGGCCCAAACCACTTCCTTATCACCATCATCCCACCGAGGGAGAGATGGAAACACATTCGTCAGATGACATACGTTTGATAGAATAGCCCTCGATACGGAGCAGCAGTTGGCAAAGGTATTCGGAAGGTCCTACTCAAGTCTTGTTGCCAGAAGTGGTCATCTGAGCTGAGGTTTTCCTCACTATGAAAATGAGAGCATCCGTTTTGGTTCTTTCCTCAATTAAAACTCTACGATTCCAGCAGCGGCACCACAGAGCAATTTTTCTGGCATCGTGATGACCGTCCGTCATTCCTGTCTGGAAAGGGACCCTCTGTGTTATACGTACAACTGTATAAGCCACAGCAATTGTCAAGAGCCGTTCTGGCACGGGATGTCCCAGCCGGTGGAATGTCTGGGCTCCCCTCTGCCCTGTCTCACTCTAGACGTTCCCGAAGGCGGCCCTCCGCGCAAAGGCAGCGCACTGGAGGGCCCTGGGCCCAGCGAGCCAGCTGCAGAGGAGGTGACCGGGTGGGTTCATCACAGGTGCACGCTCTCAGGAAACACCTCCCCCTAGATGGGATTCATTCTTTTCTCAATATTACTGAACGCTGTACTCACAGAAGTCACGCGGTCCATGTTATCCCTGGGATGCGGTATGCTGTCCTGTGCAGTTTGGATCTATACTGTTTTCAGTGGTGTAGGATCTTATTTTACAGATGGGTTTTATCCTTCTTTAAGTGACTGGTGGAAAAGACAAAAGTAGAAAGGCCAGGATTTTTCCAGCGCTGGGCAGATGGGGACCTGCATGAGACCCGGGGCTGATAGTGCGGTCCTAGACACCCCGAGTCCCCGTGGGCACCGAGTGCTGTGCTAACATTCCAACCCACGTGTTTTTAATTCTTGCCCCTGAGGGATTTGCTCGGTTTCCATACTGATTAGTTTATAGCAAGGCTAATTTGCACTGACATTTGGGTTTACACATTGGGGTTTATTAAAATAAAGGGAACAGCATTGTAGGAGGCAGAGGGAATGTGGCTCTGAGGGCTGATGGGCTGAGGTGGAAACCGGTCCCCGGCTTCATTCCTGAGCTGTCTTTTGTCCTGGGGCCACCACTCAGCCATCTGTGCATGGCTTTCTCTACCCAGAGTTAAAGTGTGAGAGACACGGGAGTTTCGGTGAATCACAGGGGCTTTTTTTATGGATTAAGTAATGAATGTGATTAACGATAATAAGGAGAATTCCCAGCTACCCACCTGTAGTTCCCCTGCAGCTCATTTTCAATTCTGTGTTGATTCCCTTCACTAACTCCCATCCCGACCCAGATGGTATCTATTTAGGAAATTCAGGAAACTCTTAATATTTGCATGAGCAGAGCAAATTGGGAAATAAATTAGTGTGAAGAAGTGATCTAATGCAATCGAAAGCTGAATATAAACAGCTTCTGGATTTTTCTAGGCCATGGACTCATGAAGTCACTCGGTAAATATTTGCTAAGCCCTGCTGAGTGCTGGGCCCTGGGGACAGCAGTACGAGACGGGCTGAGGTTCGCCATCCAGAGCCAGAGGCTGGGTGGACAGGCTGAGACTCGGGGGCCCAGGGGAGGAGGTGGGTTCCATTCCCACAATAGCTGGTGGTGGTTTCCTTCCAGGCCCCCCCCTCTTCTGATACATGGAACGGTCCTCAGAAACATCTCATCTTTACTCTTCATTACAAAGGACGGTGTGTCCAGTGGACATGAGCACAGTGTTCAGTCTCCTGATGCCAACGTTGAGGTGGGGGGGAAGCGGCCAGCTCCCCGAGGACAGAGTCCCCTTATGGCCCCAGGGTGAGGGTGGGACCTGCACGGGGCAGGCACTCAGTGGCCGTTTGTTGAATACACTTGATCCCGCAATCAGCCGTCTGGAGCCGTATAGGGAAGGCATCACCATCACCATCATTCTCATTTTGAAAACGAGGGAGGTGAGGTTCAGAGCGGTTTGGTAAGTCCAAGCACACATAGCTAGAGAAGGGTGGAGTTCGGGCTCAAACCGTGTTCACCTGCCTCCCTGAAGCCGTCACTCTCAGCTCACTGTGTTGAATCACGGGCAAGGGGACGTGGCCGGCAGGCGTGGGTGGCATGTGGCTAGAAGCCAGGAAGAAACAGGAGTTTATAATCTTGCTGAAGCCTGACTGCTGTATGGTGTCCAGGGAAGGGCTGGAAAGTGGCAACCAGCCTCATGGCCCTTTGATGGACTCCTCACCTCTGCTTCTTGCTCTCTGTGTGACCCAGTGTTATGGAGCCAAACTTGTGTCCGCTTGCCCACACCCAGGAAAGCCAATCTACTGACACCAGGTTCTGGTGAAGGAAAGTGCAGTGTTTATTGCAGGCGCCAAGCAAGGAGTCCAGACAGCTAGTGCTCAAAAGGCCCTAACTCCTTGATGGTTTTTAGGGAAAAGCTTATAAAGACGGGGTGAGGGAGGGGGGCTGTGGGGTGTGTGATCAGCTCGTGGACCTTCTTCTGATTGGCTGGTGGTGAGGTAACTGGGAGTCAACATCATCAACCTTCTGGTTCCAACTGGTCTGGGGTCTGTGTGCTTGTGAGCAGCAGACAGTTAACTTTTCCTACCTGGTGAGGGTTTCAGTCTCTGTAAAACAGCTCTAAGGACGTGGCTCAGAATGTTATCTATAGCCCTTGAGGAGGAACAAAAGGTTTTTGACTTCTTTGTTTAATGGCTAAACCATTATTATTTTGTCTTGCTTGAAAGTTTCCTTTCTTTCTGCATTTTCTTTTCTCCAGTTAAATTTATTCTTTGACTAAAGTTTTTCTACAGACGAAAGGCAGGCGGAGGACCTGGAGGGGGAGTCTTGCTCTGGGAAGGCCCCATAGGGTCCTGCTTGGTTACACCAGAGCAAGTTGCTCAGGTCTCCCTGATGCTCTGTTTCTTCGTTGGCAACACTGATAACACCCGACGTACAGTAAATTCTCAATTATACCGGATTATTTTGTTATTACCAGTTAAATTTTTTTATTACTACTACTACTCTTGTGATTTGCCTTTACGCACACAGAGACTTGTTACAGAGAGTAACCAGTCTTAAGATAAGCTTCTAAATTGCGTGGTATGTTATATTAAGTAAGCAGCTTTCGAGATTATTGAGTCTGAATCTGTGTCTGGCCCAGAGATTCAATCAAGGCTCCCTTTTCTGTGGCCACTGTTTTCTAACTTAGAAAAGCTGAGGTGACATATTTTCTATCATTGTTTCTAAGAATATTAGGGCTGTTTCACTGTGCTACTTGGTAGGCCCCCTTGTTAACGTAAGGGCCATGTTAAGATGTAGGAAGTGGGAGCAGGGCGTCTACCTTTCCACTCCTACAGTGAGTAAGTCTGAGCCCTGGGGGGAGCATTTGTCCGTGGCCTTGGTTTACCCATCGCCTCTGCTCTGCGCAGGGGACAAGTCTTGTTTACTGCTGTAACCGCTTATAAATTGATTTGTCATCTTTTGATGAGAAACACCTGCAAGGCTCCTGCAACGGCAACTCACCAGCATAAGGTGGCAGCCTGGGCCACATCTTCACCAGCGTTGCTTCAACCAAATATGCCAACTCTTGCGAGCATGGGAGAAAGAGATTTTTAGTGGTTTTTGACAGTCTTTTAGCAAAGCCTTTTCTGAGAATCTCTGACCCAGGCATCAGTCAACCCTCTTTGTCATCTCCACAGCCAAGATCAGCCCTGGAAGTTTGCTCTGGATGGCCCAGGCAGAGCTGTCCAATGATGTATAAGGCAAACCACATACATGATTTTAAATGTTCTAGTAGCCACATTTTTAAAAAGTAAGAAAAAACAAGTAAAATTCATTTAAAAAATATACTTAATTAACCCAGTATGTCAAAAACATTGTCATCCCAACAGGTAATGAATGTAAATATCATTAATGAGCTATTTTACACTCTTCGTTTCATACTAAGTCTTTAAAATCTGGTGTGTATTTTACACTTTCAGCGCAGATAGCCACACGCATAGCTACGGTGCTGGACAGTGCCCAGTCCAGTTAAGCAAGGTGGCTCTGGGAAACAGCCAAAGCCCCGACAGATTGTCATTAAAACAAAAACTTACATTAGGGACCTCATCCCTATGACCCTACTAAGGATGAGAGCCGCTGGGGGCCACTTTGTGGACCTTCTTTCCATTAACATTCTTGTAGATCTGAGGATTTCAGCTCATCCATATCTGTACCAATATGTATGTTTTGTTTTAAGAGCTAGCAGTGACGACACCCAAGCTGAGCTCAGAACGGAGCCGAAGATGTTGGAACCCACTGCTCAGGACAACCTGCTTGTGTCCATCACCAGGCGAGACTGGCTTCTCCAAGAAAAGCAGCAGTTACAGGTAAGCGGGTGAAGAATCTTCAAGAAACAAGACATCATTTTTCTTATCCATTTGAGCCAAAGGTAGCAAAGCGGGTCTTTGCTTTGCTTGAGTGAAGCAATTAGAGCGTTGGCTGTCCACCTGGAAGCACAAGGTGGAGGGTGGTGACTAGGGGGCCTGTCGGGAGTCTCATTACCAACGAGGGGTTGAAAGCTTGGCGGTGTGTGTGCCTGTTTTTGCTATTCCTCATTACCTGTTGAATATGCTTTCCTTGTCTGCCAGGCCAGTTTGTCACCTCTTCTCGTTTTGCCCTGAAGAAGGTTCTTTTAGAAGGCAGAAAAAAAATCTGAGCTGTGGCAATGATTTATGGCAATTGCTGTCAGGTTGGACCCTGAGTAGCACCTGTCAGGAGGCAGAGCTGTAAGTGTGGACTGGGCAAAGTGGGCGGGACTGGGAATGACTGGGGCATCGTGGGAGCTCCAGGTTGGCCCAGAGCAGTGGATGCAAGTTGGCCGAGAATCATCAGGGGCTAGAAATCTTGGTGCAGCCCTGAGTTCCAGCCAGGAGGCAACCAGGAGCTCTGGAAGTCGACAGTGTCCCCCAGAGACAAGGAGCCCTGCAACTCTGTCCACACCTGCCTGAGCCTGGAGGCCTTGAGGCAGGAATGGGGAGCATTGATGTCTGGAAAGAGCAGAGGGCTTTAACACTGAGTCCAATAGCTAGCTTAGGCTCCAAACAGCTGAATGACCTTAGACAAGTTAATGGGGCTCAGACATGTTACTGGAAGCCCTCCCGCTGCCCCTGCCTCAAGCAGAGTGTTCTTAATATCTGAGTTTGCCCATCCAAGTCCATACAATAGCAAGGTGGCAAAGGGAAGCAAACATTGTTGCTATTTGAAAATATTCTCCAATAAACTGGCACTTTTTTTTTTAATTGAAGAGACTGTCTTTTCTGCATTGTATATCCTTGCCCCCTTTGTCATAGATTAGTTGACCATAGGTGCGTGGGTTTATCTCTGGGCTTTCTATCCTGTTCCATTGGTCTATATTTCTGTTTTTGTGCCAGTACCATATTGTTTTGATTACCATAGCTTTGTAGTGTAGTCTGAAGTCAGGGAGTCTGATTCCTCCAGCTCCATTTTTTTCCCCCTCAAGATTGCTTTGGCTATTCAAGGTCTCTTGTGTTTCCATACAAACTTTAAGATTTTTTGTTCTAGTTCTGTAAAAAATGCTGTTGATAGTTTGATAGGGATTGCATTGAATCTGTAGATTGCTTTGGGTAGTATAGTCATTTTCACAATATTGGTTCTTCCAATCCAAGAACATGGTATATCTCTCCGTCTGTTTGTGTCATCTTTGATTTCTTTCATCAGTGTCTTATAGTTTTCTGTGTACGGGTATTTTACCTCCTTAGGTAGGTTTATTCCTAGGTATTTTATTCTTTTTGTTACAGTGGTGAATGGGATTGTTTCCTTAATTTCTCTTTCTGATCTTTCATTGTTAGTGTATAGGAATGCAAGAGATTTCTGTGTATTAATTTTGTATCCTGCAACTTTACCAAATTCTTTGATGAGCTCTAGTAGTTTTCTGGTGGCATCTTTAGACTTCTCTATGTATAGTATCATGTCATCTGCAAACAGTGACAGTTTTACTTCTTCTTTTCCAATTTGTATTCCTTTTATTTCTTTTTCTTCTCTGATTGCCATGGCTAGGACTTCCAAAACTATGTTGAATAACAGTGGCGAGAGTGGACATCCTTGTCTTGTTCCTGATCTTAGAGGAAATGCTTTCAGTTTTGCAGCATTGAGAACGATGTTGATGTTGGCTGTGGGTTTGTCATATATGGCCTTTATCATGTTGAGGTAAGTTTCCTCTATGCCTGGTTCTGGAGAGTTTTTATCATAAATAGGTGTTGAATTTTGTCAAAAGCTTTTTCTGCATTGATTAAGATGATTATATGGTTTTTATTCCTCAATCTGTTAACATGGTGTATCACACTGAATGATTTGCGTATATCAAAGAATCCTTGCATCCCTGGGATAAATCCCACTTGATCGTGGTGTATGATCCTTTTAATGTGGTGTTGGACTCTGTTTGCTAGTATTTTTGCATCTATATTCATCAGTGATATTGCTCTGTAATTTTCTTTTTTTGTAGTATCTTTGTCTGGCTTTGGTATCAGGGTGATGGTGGCCTTGTAGAATTAGTTTGGGAGTGTTCCTTCCTCTGCAGTTTTTTGGAAGAGTTTGAGAAGGATGGGTGTTAGCTCTTCTCTAAATGTTTGATAGAATTCACCTGTGAAGCCATCTGGTCCTGGACTTTTCTTTGTTGGTAGATTTTTTTTTAACATCTTTATTGGAGTATAATTGCTTTACAATGGTGTGTTAGTTTCTGCTCTATAACAAAGCGAATCAGCTATACAGATACATATACCCCCATATCTCCTCCCTCTTGCATCTCCCTCCCACCCTCCCTATCCCACCCCTCTAGGTGGTCACAAAGCACCTAGCTGATCTCCCAGTGCTATGTGGCTGCTTCCCACTAGCTATCTATTTTACATTTGGTAGTGTATATATGTCCATGCCACTCTCTCACTTAGTCCCAGCATACCCTTCCCCCTCCCTGAGTCCTCAAGTCCATTCTCTACGTCTGCGTCTTTATTCCTGTCCTGCCCCTAGAACCATTTTTTTTTATTCCATATATATGTGTTAGCATACGGTATTTGTTTTTCTCTTTCTGACTTACTTCAGTCTATATGACAGTCTCTAGGTCTATACACCTCACTACAAATAACTCAATTTCGTTTCTTTTTATGGCTGAGTAATATTCCATTGTATGTATGTGCCACATCTTCTTTATCCATTCATCTGTCGGTGGACACTTAGGTTGCTTCCATGTCCTGGGTATCGTAAATAGTGCTAAAATGAATATTATGGTACATGTGTCTTTTTGAATTATGGTTTTCTCAGGGTATATGCCCAGTAGTGGGATTGCTGGGTCATATGGTAGTTCTATTTTTAGTTTTTTAAGGAACCCCCATACTGTTCTCCATAGTGGCTGTATCAATTTACATTCTCACAAACAGTGCAAGAGTGTTCCCTTTTCTCCACACCCTCTCCAGCATTTATTGTTGGTAGATTTTTTGATGATGGCCATTCTGACTGGTGTGAGGTGATACCTCATTGTAGTTTTGATTTGCATTTCTCTAATAATTAGTGATGTGGAGCATCCTTTTATGTGTTTGTTGGCAATCTGTATATCTTCTTTGGAGAAATGTCTATTTAGGTCTCCTGCCCATTTTTGGGTTGGGTTGTTTGTTCTTTTGTTATTGAGCTGCATGAGCTGCTTGTATATTTTGGAGATTAATCCTTTGTCAGTTGTTTCATCTGCAAATATTTTCTCCCATTCTGAGGGTTGTCTTTTGGTCTTGTTTATGGTTTCCTTTGCTGTGCAAAAGCTTTGAAGTTTCATTAGGTCCCATTTGTTTATTTTTATTTCCATTTCTCTAGGAGGTGTGTCAAAAAGGAACTTGCTGTGATTTATGTCATAGAGTGTTCTGCCTATGTTTTTTGGAAGATTTTTAATCACAGTTTCAATTACATTACTTGTGATTGGTCTGTTCATATTTTCTATTTCTTCCTGCTTCAGTGTTGGAAGGTTATACCTTTCTAAGAATTTGTCCATTTTTTCCAGGTTGTCCATTTTATTGGCAAAGAGTTGCTTGTAGTAGTCCCTTATGATGCTTTGTATTTCTGCGTTGTTCATTGTAACTTCTCCTTTTTCATTTCTGATTCTATTGATTTGAGTCCTCTCCCTCTTTTTCTTGATGAGTCTGGCTAAAGGTTTATCAATTTTATCTTCTCAAAGAACCAGCTTTTAGTTTTTTGATCTTTGCTATTGTTTTCTTTGTTTCTATTCCATTTATTTCTGCTCTGATCTTTATGATTTCTTTCCTTCTACCATCTTTGGGTTTTGTTTGTTCTTCTCTCTCTAGTTCCTTTACATGTAAGGTTAGATTGCTTATTTGAGATTTTTCTTGTTTCTTGAGGTAGGATTGTATTGCTACAAACTTCCCTCTTAGAACTGCTTTTGCTGCATCCCATTGGTTTTGGATATACATGTTCTTGTCATTTGTCTCTAGGTATTTTTTGATTTCCTCTTTGATTTCTTCAGTGATCTCTTGGTTATTTAGTAATGTATTGTTTAGCCTCCATGTGTTTGTGTTTTTTACGGGCTTTTTTCCCCCTGTAATTGGTTCCTAATCTCATAACATTATGGTCGGAAAAGATGCTTGATATGATTTCAGTTGTCTTAAATTTACCAAGGCTTGATTTGTGACCCAAGCTGTGATCTAACCTGGAGAATGTTCCATGTACACATGAGAAGAAAGTGTAATCTGCTGTTTTCAGATGGAATGTCTTATAAATATCAAGTAAATCTCTCTGGTCTATTGTGTCACTTAAAGCTTGTGTTCCCTTATTAATTTACTGTCTGGATGATCTGTCCATTGGTGTAAAAGTCCCCCACTATTATTGTGTTACTGTTGATTTCCTGTTTTTATAGCTGTTAGCATTTGCATTATGTATTGAGTTGCTCCTGTGTTGGGTGCATATATATTTATAATTGTTATATCTTCTTCTTGGATTGATCCCTCGATCATTATGTAATGTCCTTCCTTGTCTCTTGTAACATTCTTTATTTTAAAGTCTATTTTATCTGATATGAGTATTGCTATTCCAGCTTTCTTTTGATTTCCATTTGCATGGAATATCTTTTTCCATCCCCTCACTTTCAGTCTGTATGTGTCCCTAGGTCTGAAGTGGGTCTCTTGTAGACAGCATATATATGGGTCTTGTTGTTGTATCCATTCAGCGAGCCTGTGTCTTTTGGTTGGAGCATTTAATCCATTCATATTTAAGGTAATTATCGATATGTATGTTCCTATTACCATTTTCTTAATTGTTTTGTGTTTGTTTTTGTAGGTTCTTTACTTCTCGTGTGTTTCGCACTTAGAGAAGTTCCTTTATCATTTGCTGTAGAGCTGGTTTGGTGGTGCTGAATTCTCTTAGCTTTTGCTTGTCCATAAAGCTTTGGATTTCTCTGTCAAATCTGAATGACATCCTTGCCGGGTAGAGTAATCTTGGTTGTAGGTTCTTCCCTTTCATTACTTTAACTATATCGTGCCACTCCCTTCTGGCTTGTAGAGTTTCTGCTGAGAAATCAGCTGTTAACCTTATGGGAGTTCCCTTGTATGTTATTTGTCCTTTTTCCCTTGCTGCTTTCAATAATTTTTCTTTGTCTTTAATTTTTTCCAATTTGATTAATATGTGTCTTGGCGTGTTTCTCCTTGGTTTTATCCTGTATGGGACTCTCTGTGCTTCCTGGACTTGGGTGGCTATCTCCTTTCCCATGTTAGGGAAGCTTTCGACTATAATGTCTTCAAATATTTTCTTGGGTCCTTTCTCTCTCTCTTCTCCTTCTGGGACCTCTATAGTGCGAATGTTGGTGCATTTCATGTTGTCCCACAGGTCTCTTAGGCTGTCTTCACTTCTTTTCATTCTTTTTCCTTTATTCTGTTCTGCGGCAGTGAATTCCACCATTCTGTCTTCCAGGTCACTTATCCGTTCTTCTGCCTCAGTTATTCTGCTATTGATTCCTTCTAGTGTATTTTTCATTTCAGTTATTGTATTGTTCATCTCTGTTTGTTTGTTCTTTAATTCTTCTGGGTGTTTGTTCTTTCATTCTTCTAAGTCTTTGTTAAACATTTCTTGCATCTTCTCGATCTTTGCCTCCATTCTTTTTCCAGGGTCCTGGATCATCTTCATTCTCATTATTCTGAGTTCTTCTTTTGGAAGGTTGCCTATTTCCACTTCATTTAATTGTTTTTCTGGGGTTTTATCTTGTTCCTTCATCTGGTACGTAGTCCTCTTGCCTTTTCATTTTGTCTATCTTTCTGTGAATGTGGTTTTCATTACATAGGCTGCAGGATTGTAGTTCTTCTTGCTTCTGCTGTCTGCCCTCTGGTGGATGAGAAACTGGCACTTTCATATTCAGTGGGCATCATTGCAAGGTTCGGGTAGCTGAAAATGTGAAGTCTGGTTTTTGGTTCTGAACAATATTCACCAGTTGAAGGTCTCCCCAATTCCTGATGACGTCAGAGTGTACAGAACATACTTAGTGTTTGGAGGGAGCATTCATGGCAGAACTCTGGGGGAAGGTGGATATTCATTTATTCAGCAGAAGTTTTGAGTGCCTGTGACATGCCAGGTACTGTTTGCAATGCTCAGGGTTCCTGTGGAGTTTATGTCCTAGTGGGGGTGGGAGTGCGGAGATAGACAAGAAATGGCAAACGTGATAAAAGCCTAAATTCTATGCCTAGAATGTTGTAGGGTGGTAAGAGCTACAGTGCATGGACCAGAGTGTTGGGGTAGGGGAGTCTACTCACTGAGAAGGGAGATTGAAACGAACGCTTGATGGAAGAGGGAGAGGGGCCTTGCAGAAATCTCCAGTAAGAGCGTTCCCCATGGAGGGGACAGTCACTTGAAGGCTGCAGTGGGAGTGTGCCCCATGCCTTCAAAGGGTAGCCAGGAGGCCAGGGTTGTGGAGAACAGCAGAGGAGAAGGTCAGTGATGAGAGGGCCTTTGCAGGGCCTTGTGAGGCCTTGGGCTCTTCTCTGACTGGATTGGGAGCCATGGGGTGTTTTTAAGCAGTGAAGTTATGTAATTGACCGCAATTTAAAGAGTCACTTTGACATCTGTGTGAGAATAGGGTGGAGGGCCAGTGTGGAAAACAGGATGGTGTTTCTTCAAAAAATTAAAAGTAAAATTACCATGTGATTCAGCAATTTCTCTTCTGGGTATAAGCCCCAAAAGAACTGAAAGCAGAGACCCAAAGACATCTCCATAGCATCCTTATTCACAACAGTCAAAAGGTGGAAGCGACCCAAGGGTCCATCGACAGATGAATGAATAAACAAAATGTGGTGCATACATACAATGCAGTATCATTCAGCCTTTCAAAGGAAGAAAATTCTGAAACGTGCTACAGCATGGATGAAGCTTGAGGACATTATACTAAGTGAAATGAGCCAGCCTCAAAAAGACAAATATTGTATGATTCCACGTATACGAGGTCCCCAGGAGAGTTAGATTCTAGAGACAGAAAGCAGAATGATGACCACCAAGCCTGGAGGCAGGGGGAATGGTGGGGTCAGTGTTTAATGGGGACAGAATTTCAGTTTTGCGGGCTGCAAAGAGCTCTGGAGGTGGATGGTGGTGATGGTTGTGCAACAATATGAATATACTTAATGCCACTGAATTACACTTAAAAATGGTTAAGATGGTACATTTTATGTTACCTGTATTTTACCACAGTTAAAAAAACCCAAAACAAACAAACAGAAAAGAAAAGAATAGGGGATGGGAGTTCAAAGGTTGGAAGTAGGGAGGTGAGATGGGAGACAGTGTCAGTAATACCATAATCTTGGACCAGTGGGATGCACGCTGTTGTTTTCTTAGGGTGTCTTGGGTGGATCCTCAGTACCTCCTGCTGTGTGTCCTTCCTCCCCTACTGGAAGAGGGGTCAGTGGGTAGAGCTGTGGGTGATCTGTACCTTGAGGCTGAGAGGACGTGGGTGAGAGATGGGGGGACAGCCAGGGTTAGAGCTATGCTCTTATCAGCTGGAAACCAGTGCATGGAACCTGGGAGTATGTTAATTAAAAGAGTCTCGTTTTAGATTCAGAATCCTATGGTCAGTGAGATGATTAGCTGCCGTAACACTTTACGCACAGCGGGCATTCAATTACCTGCTGCTTGTTTTATCCATTGACCTCAAGATTGGACAATACTTGAGTCTTTGGATTTTGGTTTGTTGTATTAGTGGAAGTTAAATTTATTTACTATTTTTATGAACCGAGACAGGAGAGTGCTATCCGTGGCATGCCATTTTTCTTGCAATCCTGTAGACTTAAGAGGCTATGATTTCTAATCTTTCTCTACATGGTAAATTTGCATGTTTGGGGACAGACCAGCCAAGCCTCGTTTGCTTTTCTTTTTTGGTCTGTGGGTTGTGTTTCCTGCTTACTGGTGTCTCAAGTCCATGAAGTTTGCCGCCCTGTGTTCTAGCTCTGTCACCTGAAATGAAGTAAGTCGTTTATATATTTGCTGGCTTCTTCCAAGTCAAATTCTTGGCTCGCCACCCGGAGTTATTTCATGCTTGGGAGGGAATGTTTCTCCTTATGCCAACTAATCAGAAATACAAAGCTGGCGTGATTTTTCCAGTTCAGCAAACCTCCAAAAATCTGCCTGCTTCAGAAGGGCAGCTTCACGGCTCTCATGCATATGGCGGACTCTCATGGAAAGGACTCATTTTCAGCAGTGCAGTCTGCCACGAGCAGGGTGAATTTACAAAATCTCCTCTCTCTATTCTCTACAGAAAGAAATCGAAGCCCTCCAAGCCAGGATGTCTGTGCTGGACGCAAAAGATCAACAGCTGAGAAGGGAACTAGAAGAGCAGGAGTGGGTCCTCCCGTGGCAGGGCTGCGACCTCATGGGAGGGCTGTCCCTGGGCGAGTTGCAGGAGGTCAGCAAGACCTTGCAGGACACCCTGGCCTTGGCCGAGCAGATTCCTGTCCGTGCGGAGCCGCCCGAAACCATCAGGAGGTACTGGTGATTTCCTAACTGATTTGGATCGCTCATCTCATTGATCTGTTTATGGGATTGATTTTGTCTGCTGGCCCGCATATATAAATTATTTTCCAAGCAGTGCTTTGTTTTTTCAAGGGAAGCACCGTTGATATTTTGAGTGGCAAAATTCTTCATGGTGTGGGGCAGTCCTGCACATCGCAGGGTATTTTACACCCTGGCTACATACCCGCTAAATACCACGATTCCTCTCCATTCTGATATGGACCTTTCCCATTTCCAAACGCCCCAGGGGTGCCTTCCTTCCCTTTTGAGATCTGCTGGGGCTCAGTTGGTTGGAGATTTGGATGCCAGCCTTTGCTGAGGGTGACCAGCTGGAGACAGGAGAGGCTGGTGAGCTGGAGGGAGGAGGCCCAATCAGTGGCCTGGAAGAATGAGTCATTATTCATGGCACTAACATTTACTGAGTCTTACTATGTGCCAGGCACTGTGCTAAGCTTTACTCTATGAGTTGCTTCTATTATTATACCCATTTCACAGAGGAGGACAAGAGAGTTTAAGAAGGTTAAATAATTTGCCCAAAGTCCCAATTAATAAGAGCAAAACTGATACTTCAATTCCTGTTCATTACGTCAAAGCCTAGTTTCTTTTCTTTTTTAGTTTTACTTTTCACTTTCTAATTTCTTTTTTTTAATATCTTTATTGGAGTATAATTGCTTTACAATGGTGTGTTAGTTTCTGCTTTATAACAAAGTGAATCAGTTATACATATACATATGTTCCCATATCTCTTCCCTCACGCGTCTCCCTCCCTCCCATAGCCTAGTTTCTTATCCACTTGCTATAGAGGGAGAACTTTCCTTGTGTTCTGCGTCTTGGGAGACCCAAGAGATACACATGGACCTCTTGCCTTTGGGGAGGTCATAACCTTATATGGCGAAAGACAGAAGCCACCCTTATTCATGTTAGACAGAAAGTGAGCCGTGCCTGGATGAACACGCAGGTGTGGTGAGGCCTGCAGGTGCGGCGGGTGTAGAGCAGTGAGGGGGATGAAAGTTCTGCCTGCAGAAAATACTTAAGAAAACGTCACCCCCTGTAGCAGTTGAGAATATGGACTCTACCATCTGATTACCTCACTCAACCGCTTATTAGCTGGAACCACTTATTATTGGGGGAGGGATGGGCTGTTAGGAGGATGCACTGAGTTAATACATATAAAGCTCGTATAACGGTGCCTGGGTGGCGGCAAGTGCTTTACCATGCTTACTGCCTGTCGTTTTTATCACGGGGATTTCAGTCTTCTGAAGCCTTCTAACTGCCTTCCAAATGTGTTTTAGACTATTCAGCGAGTACCTGTCCCCTCTCACACTTGTCCCACACCCGATCCAGCCCATCGAAGCTGGATGCTTGTCCAGGGAGCTGCCCATGGTGTCCTCCCCTCCCCTCCCAGCCCTGATATTTCCCTGCAGAACTCTAACCCCGGGCTCATGCCCGTGGAGAGGGGGAAGAGATGTGTGTTGTTGCCAGATTTCAGCCACAAGAAACTCACCATCAAGTCTGCCTGCGCTCTTTCTGCTTCACTTTCGCCTGCGTCCTTACTGTATAGCCTTGGCCTCTAGGGATCTTTCCTACTCCTGCTTCCCTTGTCCCTCCTATGGAAGTCATGCTACACACACAGACGCACACAATACACACATGCACATACACACATGCACACACACACGCACACACATACACACATGCACACATATACAAATGCACGCACATAAACACATGCACACACGCGATAATACACATTACGTATCATATGTAATTATACATGTGATGTATGCATTATATTAGACAGATGTATATATGGAGTGTGTGTAATATACAAGATGAAATACACATGTGCATTTATTTTTATGTGTATAAAAGCACACATTTACACATGAAGCTTAAAGTGAGCCTTTTTTGGTCCCGCCATCCAGATGTGTCCTACTTATTTCTCCTTTTGCTTTGAACAGCGCAGAGGTTAGTCTCACTCCTCTCATCTCTCTCACAAGCACTTCGAGGGGAAGAGGGAGGACGTGCTTAGCTTAGAGCCCACTGCAGTATTTCACAAAGCCTCTGTGTTTTGAGCTGAACTCCCGGGCAGCGTCCCTGCAGGTGTGCCCTGTCCCCATACAGAGACACACAGGAGGCAGGGCGCCTGCTTTCTCACTTGCTGACTCATGGCAGGCAGAGCAGCCCGGCGTGGTGGGCAGGCTGTCCTCGTTATTCTCATTTAACAGTTGAGGAAATAAGAACTCAGAAAATTTCCTGGGGATGCAGCGAGTAAGAGACCTAACTTAGATCGTTTCCACTTAGAGGTCTCTCAGCCTAAAACAAAGAGCTCCAGAGTGTGGTAGCTGATGGAGCTGGGCCCCTGAACTCAGATCTTACCATTTCTAGTCTGTTATTCTGCCCATGTGCTCCAGCCTGCCTTTTCACCAGGATGAGATGCAGACCGAAATAAAGGTGTGACTTTTGCCGAGTCATCCAGTGCTCTAATCAACTGAACAGACTCTTGAAAGACCTTTCAAGGTTTGTGGCAATCTGATTCTATGACGCTGTTAGGGAAATCCGATGTAAGGATGGCTCTTGAACGTGCTGCAGTGCCGTCTGGGGGCTCCTCGGGGAGGACCCATCATCCCCGAATCCACCTGTGCCCACAGAAGGTTACAGAGCTCAGGTCAGGAGCAGGCTCTCACTTTTTTTTTTTTGCGGTACGCGGGCCTCTCGCTGCTGTGACCTCTCCTGCTGTGGAGCACAGGCTCCGGACGTGCAGGCTCAGCGGCCATGGCTCACGGGCCCAGCCGCTCCGCGGCATGTGGGATCTTCCCGGACCGGGGCACGAACCCGTGTCCCCTGCATCGGCAGGCGGACTCTCAACCACTGCGCCACCAGGGAAGCCCCAGGCTCTCACTTTTTGTGCTGATCTGCCTGCAGGAACACCTGGGCATCTCAGTGACCTGAACCCACGAGGGCTCAGTGTAGGGGGGAGTCTTAGGAATAGAAGGACTAACGGTTGCGTGGCAAGGGTGGGAGGGAAAGTCCCAGAGTGACTGCAAACAAAAAGCAACACGGGCAATTCAATGGCTAGTTCATAGTGTGACCTCCCACCTGTGCTGAGGACCCTCGCTGTGAGAGCACCGCCAGCACTGAGTGGGGTTTCATGTTGCTGGAGAGGGACCACCCTGAGGCATTCTCGTCATCTGGGGGACCCTGCAGGAGCTGACCCTTGGCATCTCCTTTATTTACTTGGTGGTGCAGGGGGCACCTCCCAGGTGCAGGTTTTGTCTGGTCAGCTTCCTCTCTTCCACCTGGAGGAGGGAGGCATCGTGCTGTTCCTCGCCATAGATATCAAATGGAAAAACCATCATTGTTATGTGTGCTTTCCATAAGAAGGAAGGCACGCTTTTGCCAAGCTGACAGGCCGTGGTACTCACTCCTAGAAATGGAGCATTTGAAAGCAGCCGATGTGGTTTTATTGGCCAACAGATCAGAGATTGCTTGGCCTAGTATCTTAACTAATTGTATCATAGTTTTTGCGATGAGGAATTGGTTTTCTTTTAGAACGATATCCCGTAGGTGCCCCAGCTAGAAGAACGCATCTTATCTGCATCAAAAGCTGTCTTTGTTTGTTGTGAGAGTACAGTGGACCCCTGAGTAATGTGGGGATTAATCCCCGTGTAATTCAGAGCTGGCGCTCTGGATCCGTGGTGCCTTTGCATACCGGAATTCAACCAACCACTGACCGTGTAGTATTCACTATTGAAAAATATCCGCGTATAAGTGGATTCTTGCAGTTCAGACCTGTGTTGTTCAAGGGTCAACTGTAGTTTCTTCTCAGGCCAGATGAAGAGATCCAGACAAATTGTGAAATAGGAAAATCTTGCTCTTATGAAGAGAGGCCAGCTAGAAACTCATGGTGCTGTCTGGGGAGGAGCTGATTCTGACTGATTCCACAGTGTTCAAGTTCCACGGGGAGGCTATGCTGCTTTCCCTGGATAAGCCACACTTTGCGCTTGAGAAGGAGCTTCCTAAGGGCACTTGGCGTTTGTGACTCACTGGTGGAGACTGCTTTTGTGGGCACCTTCCTTTCTGACTGTAGCTTGTGGGGAATCCTTGGGCCGCTGCTGTTCAAGAAGGACTGGAAGTAGAAGGGCACCTGCTGGGGACCGGAGAACCGATGGCTTTTTATTTGGATATTTTAATAGAAATCAAAGCAGCAGGTTGAATTTTCTGACATCTGTGTTTTGGATCAAATGTCTTAGCGGGATGGAATGAAAGAGCTGCCTTCCCAGACATCAGAGCTGCCTTTTGATAGAGCCAGAGAGAATGGTTGTCTTCCAATGAATAAGAGGAAACTTTCTTAAGTACCTGGGTATCAGGAACTCTGCAGTATGGAAGCTTACAGGGCAGGGACGCGTGAAAGACAGAAGCCACTCAAAAGATGTATGTTGTACGTTAGTTGGACTTGCCTTCATCCCTGGGATTCCAATCCCTCAGCTTTAGAACAAACTCCTTGTTTGCTCCTGCAAGTCTTCCTCTGATGGGAGAGGTCTAGAAGGACGGGTTTCTCTAGTGAACCTGATCCTCCCCTACGGAAACCCATCCTTCCCCCTCTCTGTAGTGGGATTGGGGTGTGGGGTAGGGGAGGGGAAGGATGGGGACACAGGGAGGAAGGAGGTGACTGTTTCTGCGGTTTTCCTGGACGGCGTGCCTGCATTCGGGGTGTGAGTGTCCGTCTGTTTATTTCTGTAAGTGGAGGAGGGTCGTGATTTGCAGCTCATCTGCCTCGAGGGCCATCAGCTCTGCCCCTCTTGTTGGTCTGAGTGCCTTGAACATCAGTGGGGACAGGGCCAGCTGTGACCCTGGCTGACCGTAAAGCCAGGTAGGAGTAATCAGAGTAGCAACGACAGAGCTGAGTGAGGGCTGCGGACGCTACTTTCCAACATTCTTCAGAGACGCTTGGCTGGTTTGTATTAGTCTGT